TGGAGCCATAACAGGAGAGCTGTAAAAAAATTCAAGTATGTAGTATAGTGGAAGGGAAGCAGTGACTGATTGAGAGTGATGCTGATGTAAAAGCCACGATGGATATTAAATATGTGTACAAGTGTATATTTATGTCTCTTAAATTCTGCAAAAAGCTATAGCTTGGAACAATTGCAGTTATAGAGATTTTCTTAGTCCGAGCAGTAGCTGGTCAGTGCATGCAGATGAAAAATTACACAACAGAGAAAAGAAACAGTTTTGGAGAGAAATTTTATGCCTTTAAAGGAATTCAAGAGCAAGGGATAAGGAAACAGAAATTATCTAGGGAACAGAGTTAAGGGGATTTTTTACTCAATTCATGCTGGCACAAACCGTAAAGCTATCAAATAATAAATACTTCTATTTATTAATTTCAAGTTAAATTTGATATCATACCAAGTGCTGTAGGAAGCACAATTCCTAAAAGTCTGTGTAGTATCTACCAGTTTTCCTTCCCTCTTCACTCCTAAAAAAAGGCAATGAAATCTCGCTGCTTGAAGTCTTTCCCAAGACCCCAGGAAATCACTGAGACGGTTACAGATACTTATGTCCCTCTCCAGTTACAATGACTTACCTCAGAAAAGGCAGTGCATTTCAAATGAGTTTGCAGTAGTCACCTTTCATCCAGCAGAATACACGTTAGGAAACCTGCTTAGCTGGAGGATAGATATTTTCTGCTAATTATTATTGCACATGCTCCTGTTTTGACAAAGCAAGATCATCCGTTTCTAACAAGTAAATTTAAATGTCAGTGTGCAATTTCCCATGTTAAACTCTTGCCTGTGCACAATCCTTAATACCCCAAACCTGATGGAGAAACAAGGAGGATCTGTGCAAACTGCCATCAGAGCCCTGCAGCTGTTCTTTTCTGATAATTTTATCTTGGCATCAGCCCATTGTTACAGATTTCTAACTGATGGTGGTGGGCAGTCCATTGTGCACAACAGGCTGTTCTCCAGTGACCACTCTGAGCAGAACATGATAAAATTACAGCTCGCATAGTTCTCAAAATCTGTGGAAGTCAGGTTGGGCCAAGAATTTATTCTGGATGCCACTGTATATGTGACAATAGCTTTTCCAGCAGAAATACAGTACATCTCTAATGAATCCCACATTGCTGATCACACAATAACTCAGCACAGCACTCAGTTATCTGATCAGTATAACCCAAGTACAGTAGTTAATTCTGAAGAAAAGAAAACTGAAAAAAATAGAGGTACATTCCATCTTCTTAACTCCATGGAAAGATAGCACATTTGAATAATAGTTTTAATTAAATTATGTGAGTTTAGTAAGATTAGGCTGCTTCAGGGAAGAAAAAGCACTCTTCAAGGTTTTTCAAATGCCTTCTTTCCTTTTTATCCTGAAGAGCGTGTTTAGCTACGCAACATCCTAAAGTACTCTACTTCCTGAAATTATCAAACTAATAAACTTTATTTTTTTCCATTAATAGTGTGACATTTGATAGAGGCAGGTTGTAATCAAAAGGTTAAAGTAAATGAAATGCAACTTGTTTTTTTTTAGCTTGAAATCTCAAAATCTGGCAAGATTCTGGTTATGTACCATGTACCTCTGGGCACTGTTTTACCTATATTGCTGTTAATATTCTTTCACACAAAAAATTATCTACTTCAAGGCTTTTATCACAAACTTAAAAAAAAAAAGTTTAAGTTTTGATTCCAAAACACAAACAAGTAGGAAGTGATTTTTCAGACAGGGGTTATGTTGTGGGCAACAAAATTTGCAAATTGCAAAAAAAGCCATGAAAACAATTAAGGGTCTAGAGAATCTCTCATATGTGGAGAGGCTGAGAGAGCTGGGAGTATTCAGCATGAAGAAGAGAAGGGCTTGGGAGATCTTATCAGTGTGTAAAAATACCTGATTGCAAGGAATGAAAATGAAGGAGTCAATGGTATCCAGGGACAGAACTAAAAGAAATAGCAAAAGATTAGAAAACATGGAAGTCCATTTGAACACAAGGAAAAAAAGTTATTATGAGAGTGTAAAATGTGCGCAGTAAAAATTGCTGGAACCTCCAGTGAGGTTGTAGAGTCTCCATTCATGGGGATATTCAATTCCAACTGGATATGACCCTGGGTAGCCTGCTTTAGCTGGTCCTTCTTGAGCAGGGGGGAGATGTACTACAAGATCTCAAGACATTTCTTCCAACCGAAACAGTTCTATGATTCTGTGATTCAAGTACAAGTCAGAATAACTGCAGTAAAAGTAATTTGTGGCCATTCCCTGTGAAGACTGGACAACTGCTGCAGAAGATATCCTAGTGACATACAACAGAGGGGCAAGGAAATGATTAAACAGAAATACCAGAGTCAAAAAAGAAAAATAATTGCTTCAAAGTTCCTAGGGAATCTGACTGTTCTACTAGTATGGGAATTTCCAAAGATATGAGTAAAGTCTTTCCTGGTACAAACAAACACTACTTGAGTCAAAGAATGTTCTTCAGAATCATAGAATCATAAATGCTGGAAAACACGTCCAAGATTATCAAGTCCAACCTTTGATGGAATACCTCCATGTCCACTAAACCATGTCACAAAGTGCCATGTCTATTCATTTTTTGAACACTTCCATGGATGTTGACCACCACTTCCCTGGGGAGGCTGCTCCAATGCTTAATCACTCTTTCAGTGAAGAAATTTTTCCTGGTATCCAACTTGAACCTTGCCTGGTACGACTTGAGGCCTTGTCTTATTGTTAGTTGCCTGGGGGAAGATTGCCTTTTTATTACATCACTTTTAGATCTGACCTATAAGAGTTCATCTATGATGAAAAAAATAGGAGGAAAAACTATTAATAATATTTCGTTAATTAAGATTTTGAAGTGTTTTTATCTGACTGCAGAAACCTTCCTACTTAAGAGTCAATGAGCATTGGAGTATTTCAGGTCTACTTGCAAGCAAAAACAGTAGAACTAATACATGCAAGATTCACTAATACTTAATATCACACAGTATCTTCTGCATAAAATTCATGTATTTGCAATTTGCATGGTATTGGTTAGCTTTGTAGATCATCCAGTTAAGAGAGAGGGGAGACACTACATTGTGCAACCATGCACCAGCTGAGCTAAAGAAAGATCACTAACAATCTAAACAGGAAGAATTATATTCACAAGAAAGACTGCAGCAATTTTAAAACAAAAATTAATTTTAATTTAGAAAACTTTAAAAAGTGTTCTATATGCTGGCCAAAAGGACTGACTTTGACCTTATTCATAACATAGAGGAAAAAATAAAATCATAAGAGTGAAGGTAATAATGTACAGGAAATATTGATGCTGAAGCACAAATGAACACAGTTAAAAAACAAGAGATTGGTAAATTCTCTTGATAAATTCAAAGTTTTATGGATTTCAGAATTAAAATGTTCCACTCCACTGAAAATCTTCTATTGAAAAGTTTACATCTTTTCCATGTTTGTCACACTGGAGTAGTGAAAAGAGTATGGGAAAGGGATGAAAAAATTTGACAAAGAAAATGGTTCTTTTGGCAGGGACACAAAGAAGACAACTAAATTTGCAACAGCGAACCAAGCAGGAAGCTCATCTGAAAACTGCAGAATTCCTTGAAGAAAGAAATAGAAATAAAGAGGGGCTAACTTGGAAACATATGCTGGCCATACAGATAAGATTTCTCCCTCACTCCCTTCCCCTCCACCCCAATATTTTGCACTGCGTGTTTGCCTTCCTCTCACTTTGATAGAATTATATATCTGGACATAGTCTTAAGGTCAAGGGCAATAATGGGGCTTCAGAGGCATGGATAAACTGTTTGGTAAAGAGCTTAGTCTGTAGGACAACGATTCTCTCCATTAGACTTTTATTTAAGCATGAGAACCAATGTGACCTCCATCAAGGCAAGCAAAATCAGTCTTACAACAGAAAGTTGAATCAGAAAACCATGTCCATTTTGATTGCTCGGATTTCTTCCCCATTCTTCTTCCTGTCTGATTGCTTTCATGGAAAACCAGTATTTTGTAAAATGCCTACATATTATATTTTAACTTACAAGTGCCCAATTTTATGGACTTTTGCCATGGGACTCGGGGGATTTGTTTGTCAATTTGGATGCATTGTAGCAAAACAGGATGATGTTTGCTGAGAGTAGAAACAGTAGAAACACCAGACTAGAAAAACCAGTAAAGGACGTACAGGTTATATACTGAGAAAATTTTCTCACTGTGTGAACAGAAAAATATTTGGACAGGTTGGCTGGGCAATGAGCACTAGGAGTTTCTTAGAGTAAGATCTTTTGAAAGATGAAGAGGGACTTTTTGTAGGCATGTAGTTATAGGACAAGTGGGAATGGCTTTAAGCTGAGGGAGGGTAGGTTTAGATTAGCTATCAGTAAGAGATTCTTTATTGAGAGGATAGTGAATCACTGCAACAGGTTGCCGAGAGAAGTTGTGGATGCCCATCCCTGGAGGTGTGCAAGGTTGGATGGGCTTTGAGCAGCCTTGTGTATCGGAAGGTGTCCCTGCCCTGGGCAGAGAGTTTGGAACTAGATGATTTTTAAGGTCCCTTCCAACTCAAACCATTCAATGATTCTATTTTGAACAATATTTCAAAACTACTCTCACAGTACTCCCAGTCCAAATCGATGATTGCTTGTTCTCTGATGTTTCATTTTGATCCTGATAGTGTAACTCCATCCTGCTTAAATGTTAGTGCATGAAGTACATGCAATAATCTTAAAGCTCTTTTCCAACCTAAATGATTCTATGGTGCCCTTGGAACTCCATCTTGATAGCAAACTCATAGAGTCTGAGTTTGTTCCTGCCTATGTGTTTATGTGCAGACTCATCAAGAAATCCTGAATTATCTTGCCTCACAAGACACAGCAAGTTTGATCTCTTCTTACCTCTTGCCATTGAGATGTCCGTACCTATACATTTCTAGCACAGTAATGTTGCCCGTAAACAAAGACACAAACCGAGTGCCGGTTTATGCGGTGCTTTATTCGGGGCCCCGGGAACCTGAGGACTAGCGTCCCAAGTCAGGATTCCGAAGACCCTCATTCTCAATTCAGCTTATATACACAAACAAGTTTACGTGCAGTTTCCACAGCAAAACAGTTTCATTCAGTTACAAACAAGCTCATACTTCATACTGATAACAATTGATAATCATTTACTCTAATCATAAATCTGCTTAAGTTGTCTTACCCCTAGAAACTGTTTAACAGACCCTTACCACATCCAAGGTAACAAATCATTATATACATGCTTGACTAAATCCTTTGATTATTGTTTCCACTTCTTCAGTACATTTCATGCTCACAAACAAGGTTGCTAACTTACTACTTTGGAGTGTTGCTTTCTAGGCCTACTCTCCTACTAAGCCTTAGCCATTCTACTACCAAATTTAAATTGCTCTGTAACAGTAAGAAGTGTATTTCCTGGGACACATGACAGTGAAGCCATGAGAAAAACTTTAAAGGCAACCACTGACCTCTCAGTCATGTTTCCAACACATGCATACTCTGAGAACCTTAAATAAAAATTTCCCTAATACATCACCACAGTGAATGCCTGCACATGCAAAAGCATCCTATGAGCAAGATGAAATTATCTTGTAAGGTCAAGCTCTCCTCAATACACTGCACACGCTTCCAGAGGAGTAGCTTTGCATTTGCCATGAAGCCACAGGGACAGGAATGTCACAGTCATTACGTAAGACACTTTACATTACTGTTATCCTCAGAATATGAAACAAGGAAGTCTTTGTACATGGTAACAGCTATGGGGGGATGTGTTTGGTAAATACTAAGATACTAGAGGGAATGGCAGAATTATCCATCCCTGTGTAGTAAGCCTTTTAGACTTTTGCTAGCTCAATGCCACATACCATACACTGTAGATGCAGATATCTGAGAGGTTGTTAATTTTTCACCATCTAGGTGATCAGCTATTGATCATTACCTCTCAAGTAATGATGTTCACACACTTCTGAATACAGAGGGAAACGTGTTTGATCAATGCTAACTCTGCAATTAAAAAACTGAGTTCAATAACTGGTTCCTGAAATAAACAGCTTAAAGACCTCTAGCTCTCTCTGGTCATTCCAAGCATGCAGCACTCCCTCGATCCCAAAAGCAGAGAAAGGAATTTGAAGAGGAAGTAGATGGAGATGCCCAGTACACCCTTTTCTTCTGTCTCTATGTGCAGCTATAACAGTACAGAACTTAAATTTGTTTCAAAAGCACGTAACTAGAAGAATTGCCAAAACATCTGAAATTTTCTTTTCCTAGTAGTTATCACTGGGATACTAGTGCTAGCGGTGCTTCCTGCATCCAATGTGACAACAGTTTGAAGATGTTTCTGAAACACAAAAATTTGAAAATAGCATTGCAACCAGGCAACTATACAATGGAGCAGAAGGAATGATGAGACTGACTCCAGGGTCTCAAGTTGCAGCTGATTCCACAATGTTTCCTATAATCCAGCATGATAAAGAGCTACTAATCCCCTAGCAATAGAGCATTGACTGCAGATATCTTCTGAGAACATGGTGCCTTGATTGTGAATTAAAATCAATCAGAAAAACACCCCACAACTTCGAGCAATATGTTTCAGAAAGTCAGCTGCTTGAATCCTATTAGAACAAACAGTGTTGAAATATAACACATTAAAGAAAAATACTGTTGTTTAACATTTCCTTGTGTGTTCAAGAAAGACATATGAAATAGATTGCTGGGGTAGATGAAGCAGATACAGAGTTGTCTCAAGGGTTGGAGTGCAGGGTAAACTAAATCATAACGTTCAGTAGAAAATAATTTCTTTTAGCTTACCTGTTCTTTAATTTCTGCCAGACACTACTGTTGTCATGACTGAGGTGGGATTTAAAAGAGAAGATAGTAGATCTACAAATTTTCATTGAAAGCATGGCATCCATTGGGATAGATTCTGAAGTGCAAGGTGCTAATTTTAATGTATAAAATTAAAAATGGTTTCAGATACGGTCACATGGAGAATAGTCACCTTGCTATACTATTCAGCATTGACAACAAAGATCAGTATCTAAATCCCTGTGAAGAAAGGGAACTAGCAGTAGATTTTTTCCATCTTGCATTCATGAGCTCCCAAACCCATTCTCTTTACTATAGAGATAAATAATTATTATAGGGTTTATTGAAGTTAGGATGCACCCAGTATGTTCTAGGTATTTATAGATTGGGGAAAAAAAATCGTGTCTGTCTTGGAAAGTATGTCATATATGATAGGGAAGGTTCATATTGGCAAGGCAGCAAAGTGGCTATTTGCCATGTTTTGGGGAAGACAATGAGCTTCTCTATGAGCCTACAGGAAGCACTTACATGTAGAGAAAGTCACACCTGGGAACAGAGCTCAAGAAAATTATTCTATGGAAAAAAGATGGAGATGGTAAGAAAATGCATACACATTAGAATATAAAAAGCCTTCTGATTTGATATAAAGACATTTTGCACAATGGAAACAAGCTAAGCAAGTTCCTCTCATTTATCTAGTCCATTTTGTCAACAAGTACATTGGTAGAGAGTAAGTGCAGGGAAAGTAACATCATGTCCTATCCCTTCTCTTTTCCTTTCAGATATCAGGAATGTCAGAGAAAACCTTCAAGACGGAGCATCTGTTGAGACTACCGTTTGTCTTGTCCCTGCATGGAGGTCACGTATGTGAACATTTGTATTTTTTCACTCCCCCAAGTCCTTCCATTGCACAAATTTAATTGCCAGGGACAATCTGAACCTTAATTGTAGAGTATATCAGCAGTTTGATATTTTAAGTCTTATATAACTTGGCAGCTTTCCCTGAATCTTGTCAGTTCTCTTTTTGAGTGTTTACATATGGGCATAATAAATGCTATAGATAGCTTGAACTGGATCTAAAACTATATTCCCTGTAGTTGCAATCCACAGCATGCCACAGAAAGCTGCATGTGATTCAAGAAAACACACCTCATTTGTCTTCATACATTTCCTTCTCTAAAGTGTAGCCTCCTTGGACTTAAAATAAATAAATACATATATAAATATATATATTTAATTCTACTGTCAGATAGAAAATGTCAACTGTCATATCAATTTACTTAGTCGATACATCCAACATTTAAAAAAAATTCATGTCTTATTTTACCTAATATGTAGGGAGAAATATTTCTTATAACAGAGGCACAATTACAGCATAGCAGTGCTTCACACAAATAAAGAATGACTTGCTTGAATACAATCAGTCATATCTTAAAGTCTAGAGAGCATTTCTTTTTAGAAATTTTACCTGCTGTCTTCAAGATATCTAGAATAAGGTAAAGTTAAATGGTATTTAAGAAATAAGAATATCTTTTCATTACAGACACAGAATCAAGAATAAACTGTTCTGTAGCGTGTCCTAACTTAGAAACAGTAACAACCCTCAATAAAGACGTAGAATGTGAAAGACTTTTCTATTATGGACTAACTAGAAAACACTTTTTTTCTGTTATCTTCATTTTAAAAATGAGAGTGGCATGGCTTTGCCTTTATTTGTTAAATTAACTTCTTTAGAACAAATTTTCTGGTGTAAGTCTATTCACTCCCCTAAGTTGTTCGGAAATGCCATGATTTTCTAAAATTTAGCTAAGTATACCTGGAAATATCAGACACTATACAGGGTTTTTTAAACATATGAAAGCAAGAGGATTTTAAAAAGTGACTGATAATGTTTTTTGATATTATTTGGACCACTTATCCTTAATGCCAGAAAGATTCCATTTTCTGAAATTCAGATATGTCAAGCTAGATAATAATAATAATAATAATAGTAATAATAATAATAATAATAGTAATAATAATAATAATATGCTGTACTGAAAACAAACAAACAAAAGCATAAAAAACCCCAACAAATCAAACCAACGTCAATTAGAAAATGCTGGTCAAAATCATACTTTCGGACTGAAGTTGCTTGAGCTTAAACTGCAGACTGCTCTTTCCTCACTAATGTGAAACCAATTATCATAGAGCTGGAGATTCTTACCGCTTCTTGTTCTAGCACTGAAATGACTTGGTTTCACACCAAACAGCTTCCACTGCATGAGAATCAAACATGACAAAGACAGTCAGGAAAAAAGTGTTTCAAAGTGTTCAATATGAAAAGTGTTTCATTCTGGACATGGTGAACCGCCAGCTGTTATGCTGAACAGATCAACATTATTTTCCCATGAAAGTTGATTTATAGAATAGAAATGAATGACTGTTCATTTTGCTCCTTGAAAGGACATTTTTGCCCCCCAGACAATTATCCTTTTATATGGTCATGTTGAACTCAGAAGGAAAGAGCAAAAATGCTAGTCTGAATCCTGCCATAAAATTATAACCCTAGGCAAAATTTAATGGTGTTCATCTCACTAATTACAAATTTGATATTTTTTCTCTTGCATGGATGAAAAAACCCAAAGTAGAATTAATTTGCAAAGGGCATACTTGCTTCTTTACAATGTGGAGAATCGTTTCAGTACATTAGGCAGATAGTAGCAAACATTATATTCCAGTCTAGCAAGGAATCTTAGAAGGTCATATCTCTTGTTGTTTCTCCCGCTGCTTACAGCCATAACAACACATTGCAGATAGAAGGTTGATGTAGCCTGTTACGCAGAGATCCCTCTAATGCAAAGAAATTGCCAAGGGGAGACATGAAGAGACTAGATAGACCTGAATCAGATCCTTCTCTTTCATCCTGTTTCCCCAGTGGAAACACCTTGAAAGCAAGGGAAAGGTCTGGCAGTTTTTGAATGCCTCTGATTCGCAACTTTTAAAACGTGTTTCTGCCAAATACAACTAGAAGAGTCTTTGAGCTAATCAAACTTATGAGTCATACTTCTACATAAAGACGGCATTGTACCACATCTCTCTTCTTTCTAGCTCTTTGAAGTTCAAATGCAATTTAATTTTGTAGTGGTAGAAAACTAGAAGTACCACTCCGAGGAGCTCATTCCGTTTCTCAAAATTAGAAGGTCTGTCTAATAGCAACCTTTTTATCCTATGCAAATGAGCATGTTGAGACAAAATCTTGTCTTCATGGAACAGCACTCCCAAACTAATCAAATATGTTTAGTTCAAACATCGACAATATTCCATACATCTTTTGTGATATTTTCCTCTACCAAATGAATGGAAGATACTGAATGGCACAGTCATAAAAGACTTCATTTGCAGTGTGTGAAAGAAAAGGTACCGTCCCTCATGGGGAAGCCAAAATAAGAGTATGCATTAAGCACAAAGAAGCAGAGTAGGATGATGGAGAATAAAAGTTCCTTATCTCCAAAAGATCCACCTCCTGTGGTATTCATGTCAGCTGCCTTTCTGGCCGTGTCTGCTCTTCCCTTTGTAATCCTTCTTCCCTAAGCCAGAATTCTTCT